ACGCGGGTGCGCGCGATCGAGACCGACAGTACTGGGCGGCGTCAGCTGGACTTCGCCGTCGCCGCGCGGGAGGCCACCACTACGCCCAGGGACGACTGGCCGATCAAAGGCTCCCGTTCTACACAATGGCGCTGGGAACACTTGCGCAGGAATGCTGGTGGTCCTTTGGATTGGACCTCGAAGTGGAAGGCAGAGGCTCGGCTCAGAGGTTCGGATGCGATCAGCCGGCCACGCGAGACTAATTGCCGACAACTGGAGATGGCAAGCGATTACGATCAGCTAGACACTTCGGAGATTGCAGCCGTCGAGCTGGTGAGCCGCCGAACTCAGCTCATCGAAGAGAGGCGATACGAGGAGTCCATAGCGGCGCAGGTGACCGCCGAAAAGAATAAGGACAAGAAGAAGGCGGCTGCTGCTAGCGACGCGCTGCTGTTGGCGGAGGTCGATCACTACACGGGGATGTCGTCGAGCAAGGGGATCTCGTGCATCTCCCCAGCCTTGACGGAGCTCTCGCGAAGCAGCTGAAGTCAGAGGCCGCGATTGCCGAGGAACGGCGCAAAGCCCGCGGAGAGCGGGCGGCGCACGCATAGTCCTTTGGAAGCTTCTCCCTGGCGGGTGCAGGCTCTTTGGGGCCGCCTGGGCGATTCCCTGCGTTTTCGTGGCTGCGGTTGCTGCCGTCAATTTTGTCATCATGTCTGGAGTTCGCCAGCGCGACATCTTCCCCTTGCCTGCTTTGGCGGTAGACGCGCGGGCGGACGCTTGCCGCGGCCGCCGCTGGCGACAGAGGGCGCCACGTTGTGCCGCTTGGAGCCGAAGGGCCAACGACGGGATCGCAGCCATGAGCCAGCTGAGCGGCCACGCTTCGTCGCCTCCGCCCCCCCTGGGTCGACGGCGTCCGCGGCGCAGGACAGCGCGACGGATCGCGTCGCGCGCTCGTTCCAGCAGTTTCTTCTTCCTCCTGAATATCATGAGGATCATCGTTCTGGCGAAGAACTTGAAGAGCTGCTCGCTTCGGCGCCTGGGTACTCGGCCGACTCCCAGCGCGTCGAGCCCTACAGCAAGGACCTAGTGTCCTGGCCTGACTTGTCGACGACCCCCGTAAATGTCATGGAGCTCGCCGGCCAGGCCGAACGCGAATGTTTGTCGGGGTGGAGACGGGTTATGCTCAGAGGTGAGACATCTGCTTCATCCCCGAGAGCGGCGGCGGCGCCGCTGCGGCCTTACGTCGACCCGATGTTGGCCAACAGCCCTAGACTTACGCAGGCTTCGTGAGGAAGATGCTGCAGTGCGGCGCGATCAGCTTCCGAGTTGCACAAGCTGCTGATCCATGCAGTTTGGGATATTTCTTCGTTGAGAAGGCTGGCAAGGGCACGCTGATACTAGCGTTCGACAAGCGTGTGGCGAGCGAAGGCGTCGAGCCGCCGCCCAAGATCACTTTGCCTGCGGCAGCTGCGCGGGCTGCCCCGGAGTCAGGGCACCCCGCGGCGATGGCGCGGGGCGACATCCAGTGCGCTTTCTACCAAATGTTAGTACCGCCAGGCATGGAGGAGCACTTCGCGCTCCCGACCCTTCCCAATCGACTTCGGGGTATTAAGCAGATCGAGGGGGGACCGCTGGCCTGCGATTGCATCTCACTGCCGGCGGTTCGCGCGCCCCCCATGGGCTGGAGCTAGTCGCGACTCCTCTGCCGGAGTATTCTGGGGAGGGCCCTCGCCCAGAACGGGTTTGGAGACGGCCTGATAGAGGGCGGGCGACCGAATCCTGCGTTGCGCTCGCTGGGCTGCGCAGCTGCAGCTGGCTACGTCGACAACTTCGCAGTGGATGGCAACGACGCGGGGGCCGTGGCCGACATGAGGGGCAAGATCACTCGCGCCCTGGAGGACTGGGGCCTTCCATTGCATTCCATCGACGAGGCGTCGTCGGCGCCCATCTTCACGAGCCTCGAGATCAGCGGTGGCGCGGGCGCCGCAAGGGCGAACCCGTCCAGCATCGCGCGGCTTCGACGGGCGACCCTGGCGGTTCCGCGGCGAGAGGCTGCGTCGCCGCGCATGCTCGCAGTGTTCCTGGGTCACATAACGTGGGCGGTGACTTGCAAAGAGAGACTCTTTCAATCTCGTCCTTAGCCCACGCTTTCAAGTCTCAGAGGGGCCCTGGTGCGAGGCCCCCGTGGAGCTCAGTGAGGTTCGAGCTCTGGTGCGTAGCTAGCGCGTTGCTTCTCTGGACCTCGTGCCTCAGCTTTCCGCGGCGATCTCGCGCCTCGGCTTCGGATGCTTCGCCCATCGGCGTCGGCGCGCGTGGACTCGTCAGCTGGCGGGGCCCCGGGTGGCCGATGCCGGGGGGCAGGCGCAGAGTTGGAGGTGCCGGTGTGCGTCGGCGGTTTCAGCACGGGCTCGCGCATTGGGCTTGGACGGGCCCCTCCCCATCGACGACGAGGGTGTCTTGGAGGCCGTCCTCATGGGCGGGGTCGAGGCGTCTGATTCAGAGGAGAAGGCCGTCCTTTTCGACGAGAGTTTCCACGGGATCCCTGGGCGCGCCATGCAGGCCTCGTCGCAGGCCGCCATCATCTCCAAGAGGCACTGGGGCCCCGACAAGAATGTCTGGGAGCACGAGGGAAATGCCTCATATGATGCTGTGCGCCACGCATCGCGCAATGTATCTCTTCTTCATCGCCGCCATGTCTCGTCGATCATTTACCTTTGGCTCTGCCGCCTGGGAAAGGCAGAGGGCGGGGGCCCACCCTTGCGGAAGGTGGCGGCTCTCTCTCTCTCTCTCTCTCTCTCTCTCTCTCTCTCTCTCTCTCTCTCTCTCTCTCTCTCTCTCTCTCTCTCCCTCTCTCTCTCTCGCGACCGACATTCGTTGTTATGTGCGCTGGCTGCCGTCGCACTTGAACGTTGCAGACTGACCTTCTCGTCGCGGCTTCTTCCATGGCAAGGGCGTCTCGCAGGTGCTGGAAGCCTCGGACTGCCGGGGTATCCAGGAAGCAGCCGGCAATGACAGTCATGGCTGCGCGAGAGATGGTGCCCGCTCGTCCTCGAGAGCTGGAGGGGCGGGCGATCGGCTCCTTGGAGATGTCGGCGGTCGCGGGCCCGACGAGGGATCGGCATCGCAGGCGCGCTCCGCGGTTCCTGGAGTGGCTCGAGTGCCACGAGCAGGAGTTCAGCACCAGCAGCCAGCTGGGGCCTGCGGGGATCAGCTTCGCGATCGACCTGGCGTTCGACGGGTTCGATTCGGCGCGAATGTTTTGAAGGGGTGGATCTGGGCCTTTGTTAGTTCGGAGCCGCGACGCGTTCTGCCGCGCGCCTCTGGGGCTGGAGGTGCCCGCAGCTCCAGTCCCTACGTTCGACATGTGTTCCGCGTGGGATGGTTTGCTCCTGCCCCGGTCGACCTCGCTTGCAGTTTGACGGCCGCGCATCTAAAGGCGTTGCGTGCAGGTATAAGACTGCGCGATTTCCCGTCAGGGCAGTCGAACTTGTCGGGGGTGTTCCGATTCAGGCAATTGGATATTTGTATCGGTCCAGAGTGTACTCTCTCGCCGGCCTACGGCCATGACGTAATGTTAGTCAATGTACGTTTGTGATGTTTGCGAGTGTACACTGCCGCTCTCGGAGCCGTGTCATCATCTCCTGTCATCGCCACCGTCAGCTTCTCTAAAAAGAATGTTATGGCCGCGGCGCCCCATCCTGGCATTGCAACAACTTTAGTGTGGAATGCGCTGGGGATGGTGAAGACTGGCCTCACAACCGCAACCGTTGCGCTCAAGCTCCCAACCCGCCCGCCCTCGCATGAGGGTTTCTATTCGGTTTAATTAACACGTCTGTGCTGTTTGCGAGTGTACATTGCCACTCTCGGAGCCGTGGCATCATCTCCTTCCATCGCCAGCGTCAGCTTCTCTACAAAGAGTGTTATGACAGCGGCGACCCGACCTGGCATCATCATCATCATCACCAGCATCGTCATCACCACCATCATCATCATCACCACCACCGCCATCAGCATCATCATCAGCACCATCATCATCTGCATCATCAGCATCAGCAGCATCAGCATCACCACCATCGTCACCATAGTCATCATCGCCATTGTCGTCATCATTATCATCAGCATAATCATCATCAGCAGCATCATATAGCATCATCATAACCAGCAGCGTCATCAGCATTGTCATCATCGTTGTCACCATCAGCATCAGCATCATCACCATCAGCATCATCACCCCGGCCGAGGCATGCACTCTTGTTCAGTGTAGTCAGGTTGGCGCGTTCCGCCACAGCGGTCAGCGGTCGCCGCTCTGTCAGTGCCGTTCGGGGCAAGGCAGCGGAGAGCGAACAGAGGGCGCAGATGGTAGCACCGACGCTCTGGATCGCGTTCCGCAAGCATCAGCGGTGCAAAGATCTCCGTTCGGTTGGCCAGGTGCCAAACGGGATTGTGTTGCTCTGCCGATGTGCACTGCTAGCTTCTGCTCGTGCCGTGCACGCCTCTTGCGATCCAGCTTTGCTGCGTACTCGCCCGCCTTTCGTTGCATTACCCGCGTGCCAAGGCGGAGGTTGAACCGAGGGGGCAGTGGCGCCACCGACATCTGGTTCCCCTCCGAACGCCATCGCAGAGCAAGGTGTCCATCGAGTGGCCGCGTGCCAGTGGGACTGTGTTGCTTTGCTTTGGCGCGTTTGTGCTTTTGTTGCGGGCTGGGTCGCCGTGACTGTTCGGATGCCGTGACTACCGCTTGCTTCGGCCGGGGCGGTGGGCGGTTTCTGGGCACCCAGTTGAATCTGCGAGGGTGCCTTGGGCACCAGACCGTGCGTTGCCGCCGCAGGGCCACATGGAAACGCTTCGGTCCGAGGGGAAGTATGCGCTCGGAGCTCTTGGCCTCTTTAGACGCGTGGATCGTTATCATTACCCGCAGCATCATTATCTTCATCATTCGCACCATCATCATCATCTATATCATCATCCTTATCAACATCATCGTTACCAACATCTGCATCGTCAATTTTATAACCATCGTCATCATCATTATCAACATCATCATGATCGTCATCGTCATTCTCATAACCATCATCCGCACCATCACCACGTAGACCATCCATCACCAACATAATCTCGATGTGTCATATACGTCATCATCATAATCCTCATCCCACCCAGCTTGGCACACCCCTCACACGTTTTGTGCCCCCATAGGAAGCTCCACCAAAGGCCCCAGCGGCATGCTTCGCATGCCCCCCCCCCCCCCCCGTCACTGTGGCACGCCCCATCACGCGTTTCGTGGGCCCACGGGGAGCTCCACCGAAGGCCCCCGCGGCCTGCTTCGCACGCCGCCCCCCCCTCTGCGTTGGCACACCGCTCGCACGGCGCTCCCGCTCGATACCTTTGTTGTTCTTGCTCCGGCCCGGCTCTCCCGCCTCAGTGCCGCATGCGGCCCCCGCCCCTCTGCAAGCAACGACGCTCCCGCTGGATACTTCCTTTGTGTTTTTTTTTTTCCTCGAGGCTTCCAGAGGCCTTGGCCCTTCCCTCGTCCCCAGTGCCGGTCCGCGAGAATGCAGAATGCACTGTCGGAGGTCTGCTCTGGCGCCTCCCTGGCGCGGTCCGCGTTCCAGCGGCGGCCCGAGAGCCCGCGGCGGCGACCCCGTCGTCGTCGTCGTCGTCGTCGTCGTCGTCGTCGTCGTCGTCGTCGTCGTCGTCGTTGTCGTCGTCGTTGTCGTCGTCCTCTCCTCCTCATCCTCCTCCTCCTCTTCGCCCTCCTCCTCCATCTCCTCCTCCTTCGTCGTCCCTCCTCCTTCCTCCTCCTCCTCCTGCTCCCTCCTTTTCTTCCTTCCCCGAGGCTCAGAAGCTCCTCCGGTCCAAGCCTGTTTCAAAAATGCCTTGAAGCCTCCTTCAAGATGGCCCGGGATCCTCCAGTTCAGTTTTAAAGCGTCTCCCAGGGGCCCCCATGTTTCCCAGTGGGATTCCGAAGCTTCTCTGAGAGGCTCTGGGGGCTCTGCAGCTGGCTTCAGAGGTGCCCACAGGGCTCTGGGGGCTCTCCCAGAGGTACGGTTCCGCGCGCTCTCGCCTCGACGCCGGCTGCAATTACTTAAAAAACGAGGCTCCCACACGAGCGCGGGCTTGATTATAAATGTCTGCCCGTGGAGGCCCAGCTACGACGACAACGGCTCCCGCTCGATATTTCCTCACAATTTACCCCGAGGCACCCTGGCCAGAGAGGCCCCCGAACTCAGGAACGGCGCTCTCGCTCAAGACCTTCTCGCGATTCAGTCAAACTGGCGGAGGCCCAGCCACGACGACAAGGGGCTCCTGCTCGATACTTCCCCACGATTTATTATGAGAGCCCATGGCCAGGACGGCCCCCGAACTCAGGAGCGGCGCTCTCGCGCGAGACTTTCGCGATGTAGCCAAATTTGTGGAGGCCCAACTGCCATGACAAGGGCTCTCGTTCGATACTTCCTCGAAGTGTATTCCCAGAGGCCCTGGTCAGAGAGGCCCCCGAACTCAATAGTGGCGCTCCCGATAAAGACTTTCTCGTAGTTCAGGCAAGTTGGTGGAGGCCCAGACACGGCGACAAGGGTTCCGTGGGATGTTTCTCAATCTGTATTCCGTGAGCCCTTGGCCAGAGAGGCCCCCGAACTCAGGAACGGCGCTCTCGCTCGAGAGGACCTCGCACTTCAGCCATTGGCCGACAAGGAAGATAGTCCCCCCGAAGGGGGGTGCGATCGAAAACGAAGTGGGCGGGTATCGAGAGTTGGGTATACAGACTGCAAGACACGCGTGCCAGTAAAAGCGAACAATATTAATATGATTGTTGCTGCTGCTGTTGTTTTCTCACTTCTAAAGAATACGTGTTGTTGATCCCCGTCCGGTAACCTTTGCATGTTTTAATTCAAGTGCTTCTTTTGGGGCTCGCACCTTGTTTTCTATCAGGGAAAGGTGTCACCAAACTGCGCCCCTGGCAATTGGTTTAGAACAACAGCGGCTCCCGTTTGAGACTTCCTCACAATGTCTTCCCAAATCGCGCTCTCGCGCGGGACTTCCTCACAATGTATACAGGAATCGCGCTCTCGCGTGGGACTTCCTCGCAATTTGTTCAGACGCCGCGCCATCGACACTCAGGAGTCGCGCTCTCGTTGTGGATTTCCGCACGATTTACTTGGGAATCGTGTTATCGCTCGAGATTTCCTCGAGATTCATGCGGGACGCACGCGTTAGCAACCCGCCTGCCCCTTGTACTTCCTTCCATCCGTCCTCTCCTTCTCCGCCTTAGGGGTTGCACGAAATACACGTTGCAGATAATATATATATATGTACATATATATATATATATACCTCTAATGGGAGCACGATCAAAGACGAAGAGGACGGGTATCGAGGGGTTGGGGTATACGTGTTGAATGGCATGCGAGCAGATAAGAGCGAACAGTCTTAACATGATTGTTGTTGTTGTTGCTGCTGCTGTTGTTGTTGCAGCGGTTGTCAGTTGGGGGCCAGGGGCGCAATCTGAGGAGGAATATTTGGCCTTGTAGGGAACAGGGCGCGAGCCGCCCCGGGAGGAGCACTTTAATTGAACACGCAGGGTGCACGGGAGGGGGGATCAACAGCAAGCGTTTTTTTGAAACGAACTTTCAACAACAGCGCAACAGCACCGCGGAACCCCACTTCAGCCACGCACCCAGGGACACTGGGGCATTGTGTGACCGTCCGGCCCCCTCTTTTTGATTCATGAAGAAGAGGGATGGCGGAGAAACTGATGAGGATGAGGAGGGCGAGGAGGCGGACGAGCAGGACGAGGCGGAGAGCACGGACATGTCTCGGCCGCGGCCAGTGGCCCCGCGAGGCGCACGCGTACCTGAACGACCACCAGTTGCAGCAGCTGCTCGAGAGGCCCGGGCACGGCGTGGGCGAGGAGGGGGGAGCCGAGAGGGGAGGGGGGGAGGGGGGAGGGAGGGCAGAGGAGGAGGAGGGAGGAGGAGGAGGAGGAGGAGGAGGAGGAGGAGGAGGAGGAGGAGGAGGAGGAGGAGGAGGAGGAGGAGGAGGAGGAGGAGGAGGAGGAGGAGGGAGGAGGAGGAGGAGGAGGAGGAGGAGGAGGAGGAGAGAGGAGGAGGAGGAGGAGGAGGAGGGAGGAGGAGGAGGAGGAGGAGGAGGAGGAGAGAGGAGGGCGTGCCAGATCGGACCTGACTTCGCCGGGGGCGCGCCGGGATGGTGCGGGACTCGCCCCGCGACGGGCGCCACCGCCCCTCGGGGTTCCTCGGGCCGCCGTCGACGGCGGCGTCGGGCCGAGGCGTGCCGTCGGGCTCCCAGGGGTGCAGCTCCCCCCCCGCAGGGCGCGGGGGAGGGCAGCGAGGTCGGCCAGGGCAGGACCCCTTTTGCGGAGCCGAGGGCGCGTGCATGTGGCACTTGGGGAGCAGAGGAGGGGACGGAGGGAGGGGGAAGCGAAGAGGGGGCAGGAGAACAGGAACGAGGAGGAGGAGGAGGAAACGAGAGGGTGGAGGAGAACGAGGAGGAGGAGGAGGAGGCGGAGGAGGAGGAGGCGGAGGGAGAGATGACAGGATAAGAGGATGAGGAGGAGGATGAGGAGGAGGAGGAGGAGGAGGAGGAGGAGGAGGAGGAGGGGGAAGGAGAGGAGGAGGGAGGAGGAGGAGGAGGAGAGGAGGAGGGGGAAACAGAGAGGGGGTTGAGATTTGATGATGATGATGATGATGATGATGATGAATGATGATGATGATGATGATGATGATGATGATGATGATGATGATGATGATGATGATGATGATGATGATGATGATGATGATGATGATGATGATGATGATGATGATGATGATGATGATGATGATGATGATGATGCTGATGCTGATGCTGATGCTGATGCTGATGCTGATGCTGATGCTGGTGTTGATGATGATGATGATGATTCTGATGATGGTGATGATGATGGTGGTGGTTGTGGTGATGATGATGATGCTGATGAAGATGTTGATGATGATGATGACTCTGATAACTCTGATTATGATGATGATGATGATGATGATGACGATGACGATGACGATGACGATGATGATGATGATGATGATGATGATGATGCTGATTCTGATTATGACTATGATTCTGATCATTATGATGATGATGATGATGATGATGATGATGATGATGAGGAGGAGGAGGAGGAGGAGGAGGAGGAGGAGGAGGAGGAGGAGGAGGAGGAGGAGGGGGAAACAAAGAGGGGGGTGGAGAACGAGGAGGTGGAGGAGGAGGAGGAGGAGGAGGAGGAGGAGGCGGAGAAGGAGGAGGAGGAGGAGGGAGAGGAGGGGGAGATGCCAGGATGAGGAGGAGGAGGAAGAGGAGGAGAAGGAGGAGGAGGAGCTTGAAGTGATACGGCTCTGGGGCGCCTTAGCCCCATTGGTGAGGCCAGAGGTCTGGTGCACCACCATGGTGTGCCACTCGAGGGAAGTGCAACGAAGGCGCAACACGATGGAATTGCTGGACGGCTTACGTACCAGAAGCCCCACTGGCTTTGTCCAAGCATCACGTCCTGCCTCGAGTGTGACGGTTCTGCTTTGCACCGCGAGCCCGATGGGGAATGCGGCCAGAGAGCACACCTTCCGAAGACCCCGTGTAGGTTCAAGCCTGACCGTGGGAAAGACTGAAAGGATACCCCCCGGCTGCCCTATCGCCACTCCAGCTCTGTCCCGTTTGGAGCCCTCACCGATGTTCAGTGGCCTGGGGGCGTGGTCAGAGGCCTCGGCGATTCGCTTGGGGGCGTAACATGAGACCAGCCTTAGAAGAAAGCCTTGGTTCGGCAGGAATTGGTTTCCCCCCAGAACGACGAAGAGCCTTCCAAAACCATCCCGACCCCCCCCGACAAGCCTCCCAGAACCCTTCCAGGAGAGTTTGCGGAGGGTCTCGGGAGGGCTTCGGCCGTTTTGGAAGGAAGCCAGTCCCTGGCGAACCCTGGACTCTCTAAGACTAGCCACGAAGTCGGCTCCAGTCGCTGGGCGCGGGGAGCTGTGCCGCATGTGCTGGTGCGCGCTCATCGGCACAGCGTGGCCTTAGCTGCCCGCCTCGCGCATCGTGCGGGTGGCCCCTTCCCCTGCTCTCCACGGTGCCCGCTTCACCGCACTCTACACAGCCTTGGATCCGCAGGGCAGAGAGATGTCACAAGACTCCCACAGCGAGGGCGGGACGCCCGTAGAGTTTCATCGACACTCCATCTCCTCCTCCTCCTCCTCCTCCTCCTCCTCCTCCTCCTCCTCTGGGCATCCTAGCTTGAGGAACGAGGAGTGGGTGCCAATGGCTGTCCATCGACAGGGATGGGCATCCGGGCGGCGCCCCCTCGACATCGCAACGGTCGGAGGTTGCCTCGCCGTCGGCGGCAGTGGCCGTCTCGCCGCCGCAGCTGGCCAGAGTCCCCGATGCCCAGCAAGCGCCTCTCTGCGAGGGCGGGATGCCCATGCCTGTCCACCAGCAGAGGTGGGCATCCCAGCTTCAGGCAGGAGGAGCGGGTGCCCGTGCCTGCCAATCGACAGGGAGAGGCATCCGGGCCCGCACAGTGCCCACCGAGCGCCATCAATCGCGGAGCTGCCGCACCCGCGGCGGCAACATGGCCGTCGCGTGACCACCCAAACGGGCCAACGTTCTCGCACGCCGATCAAAAAAAACTTCTCTTCGAGGACGGGACGCCCATGCCTGTTCACGGACAGGGATGGGCATCCTCGTTTGCGCCAGCGCCGCACGGGGCAGATTGATTTGGGTCCCTCTGGGGGTCCTCTTGGAGTCCCGATGTGGGCTTCTTTCGCGCCCCACTCCCACAGTGCAGTTTTTTGACGACCAAGCTGGGGCCCGTTTGGTCGTCGAAGAAATTGCCCAGGGCCCCTTTGGGGGGCCACTGGGCGGGCTTCTTCAGGACAAATCCCCCACCCCCCTAAAACAAGTCGCACGGCGCAGCTTGCCTGCAAGTCCTCTGGGGTCCGTCCAGACCTGTGGCGCAAAGCGGCGTTCGATTTGGTGCGAGCCTCCAAGGTCTTCCCGGATCAGGAGGAGGAGGAGAAGGAGGAGGAGGAGGAGGAGGAGAAGGAGGAGCAGGAGGAGGAGCAGGAGCAGGAGCAGGAGCAGGAGCAGGAGCAGGAGCAGGAGCAGGAGCAGGAGCAGGAGCAGGAGCAGGAGCAGGAGCAGGAGCAGGAGGAGCAGGAGTTCCCAAGTTGTTCCGCGCGCCCCTCGCGCGGCGTGTTGGCACGCGCGGTCAAAGCGCAAACAGCAAACGGCAAGGCAACCCCGCGGTGCGTGCACGCGCTCGCGCGCGGGCGCAGGGCGTGCCAGGGGCGCGTGCCTGCGTGCGCGTCGGGGTGCACGGCACGGGCCGCGCGTGCAGACGAGGCAGCCGCCAGGGGGCACGGGCCCCTCGGGAGGCCAGGCCACAGGCCCGCCCCGCAGGGCGCGGGCCCCAGCTCCGAGGAGCGGGGTGGGCACAGGCTCGGCGCCCGGGGCAGGGGCCCCGTCCGCGAGCACATCCTCGGGCACGGGCCCACCCGTCGCCCGCCGGCCCGCCCGCCCAGACGTGGGCTGGGGGGCGCCGGGCCGGCGGCGAGGGCACGGGCCCCGACCGCGAGCCCCGCGGCCACCCGGGCACGGGCCTGCGGGGCGACCGCGGCGGCGAGGGCTCGGACCCCGTCCGCGGTGCGCGGAAGCGAGGGCACGGGCCCCAGAGCGAAGCCAGTGACCACCCAGGCGCGGGCTTGTGGGGCACGCGCGGCGGCGAGGGCACAGGCCCCGACCTCCTCGAGGCTCGGCGGCGAGGGCGCGGGCCCCGCCCGCAAAGGACAGCTGGGGCAAGGGCCCAACAGGCTTGGGCCCAAATCGCAGGTCTTGCCTTAGAGGAGAAGATGACCCCCCCCAGCGCCCCCCTCGCTCTTCGCCGTCCTGCATCTGCTTTGTCATCAGTACACACCTATATATATATATTATATATATATATATATATATATATATATGTATATATATAATCATATTCATCCAGGGCGCTGGAGCCCTCCCTTCCCGACCCTCGCCTCCACGCAATGCGGCGACACGCGAGCCCTGGTTTGGCAGTAGCGCGTTGCTTTCCCATCGTGCGACCAGCGCGTGGACGCCGACAGGCTTCGGCAGGTGGCAGTGGGGGTCTCACGCTTTGGGCGCCGTGTCGCGGAATGGGTGCGCCATCAGCGACCGACTCGCCTCGTCCACTCTTCCTACCAGCGTCGATGGCATCCAGCGCAACGATGGAAACGCCGCCCCTTTTCTATCACGAGAGAGACCATGCGTCCATGGAGGGCGGAAATACAGGGAACATGGACCGCTCTCGTAAGCTGGAGCTCTCGTGAGATGGAGCCCGCGAGAGAGAGGAGAAAGAGAGAGAGAGAGAGAGAGAGCTCTGGAGGGTGATGTGCCCAACGGCCGAGCTACCACGCTAGCCATGGGGACGCCGCGGCGAGGCCCGCCATCATCATGGGGAGTTGCGCGCGGCCGCATTTTGGCGCCAGCCCCTTGCCCCACCTGCCTCACCTAGTCACCTACCATTAAATCGCGCCTGCCCCTCTTCAGGAGGAGCATTCAAAAATAGTCCAAAAATCGCACGGGGATTATCTGTTGAATATCTGTCTGACCATTTCGGGGCATTGTTTGGCTGTGTTTTATTCGTCGTCCGAAATCGGCCTGTCGGGGGACAGGCCCGACTTAAACCTACCAGCAGGGCACACCATCACGGGGGATGCACCGAGGGCTGCCCCCACCGTGGGGCGCTCCGCGCCTCCGGCGCCGCCCCTGGCGCGCTCCGCGCGCCAGGGAGGGGGGTCCAGCGCCGATCCGAGAAATCCGCGCGGCCCTCCGAGTTTTTATGTTTGTGTAGTGTTTCGTACCCCTATCATCGGAGGCAGCCTATTCAAGGAACGTTGGCCGATCCCCCAGGAAGCTCACGGTGGCGCGCGGCGTGGCGCGCGGCTTGGAGCAGGGGCCCGATGCGGCGCCCTTGGGCCGCGCTTTCGGCTGGGGCGCCGTTTACGGCTCAGCCCCATCTGTGCTCTCAGTGCTTGCAGCCGTGGCCAGGCGCCGCGTGGAGGGTTTCCCGCCGACGCGCGCCCAAGACTACTTACCGAGCGCGCCGCTCGGGGTGTGCCGCCGACCAGCCGGGGCTATGTCCACGCTCCCGCAGTGCTTGCTGCCGCGGCGTTGGGAGCCGCATCGCAGGCTTCCGCCGACGAACTCCTGCTACTATTCGTAAGTCGGGCCTATCCGTCTACAGGGGGAATATTCAAAAATAGTAACACAAATAGTCTGGGGACTATTTTCTGAGTATGTTTAGCCATTTTGGAGCATTTTTGAATATTTTTTATTTTTTCGTCCAAAATCCCCCTACTTAATGCTACTGTTCGCCTCATCGGTCGGGTGTTCCGCGCCAACCGACGAGTGTCGGAAACAATTGAGCAACACCCACGCGTAACATATGGTGTGAATCCCCCCCCCGCCCCGAATGCAGCGTTGGGCTCGGATCTCCCGAGCTCGAGTGTCGGACCAGCGATGCGTAGACGTGCCAACTTTGACTTGCGGGGGGAGGGGGGGAGTACAGTCGGGGCCCTGAAGAGGGAACCCTTTTGGTTGGGGAGGGGCTCCGCGTTCCTTAAGTGTTTCACAGCTTGCCTCAGGTTTTCCTTATGTCTTCGATAGGAGATCGAAGTTTAACTCATGGAAAAAAGGGGCATCGTTCCTTATTTAGGGTTCCTTAGGTCAACGCCCCGACTGTTTTGCTTACATGTGTCCCTCAGCCCCATCGAGACTGCACCGCACTCCCCGCCGTGCTCCCGGCTGCGACACCCGGCGAGCCGTCGGAGGTCTGCTGCCGGCGGGCGCTCCCCCGGAGAGCAGGAGGCGCGCCGTCGTGCCGGCGGAGGTCCGTCGGGACGATCGAGACGGGCACAGAGACCGCCAGCAGTTCCTGCTCGTTTTGAGCAGGACTCGCTGTCCGCGCCGCCGCGGCCTGTGTCCATTTGAGACAGAAGGCCGCCCGCCCAACAGCGGCCGCTGTTGGTTTGGGACAACATTTGCTGTTGGGCATTGTACCCATTCTTTCCGTACCCATTTCGGGCGTCCAAAGGTCCGTCGGGACGGTCGCAATGGGCACGGAAAGAATGGGCACAGAGACCGACAGCAATTCCTGCGCATTTCGGGGGAGCGTAAGACCCGGGTTTGCCAGGACTCGGGTTCGCCATCGTTTTTTGACGACCGCGCCTCGGATTTTGACGAAGAGGAGTGTCGTGGGATGTCTGCAGCGGGAGGCCTCGTCAAGATGCAGGCTCGGCCTCGTCATTTTTTTGACGACCTCGTCGGGGATTTCCGAGTCCCCTATACCCAGGTCTTAGGTCCCCCTGATCATTTTGAGCAGGATTCGTTGTCGGCGTCGCCGCGGACGCGATCCACTTGAGGCAGAAGGCTGCCTGCCCGACAGCGGCCGCTGTTGCTTTGTGACAGCATGCGTTGCCGGGCATTGTGCCCAGCTTTGTCGGTGCCCATTTGTGGCGTCCGAAGTCCACATTCGGTGCTCCACGTGCTTGCCAGAATGTGACTACACAATCGGTTGGCGTGCCGCTGCTCCCGCAAAGCAGAGAGGAAAGGCCAGCATCGTCGCTTTTCTCCCACGCGCTTGGGCGCATGGCTTGACTGACCGACCGGCGGCCATTCAGGCAGAGCGGCCCTCTCGGTGCTCCAGCGCTTCCTTTTTGCGAGGGCGGGGTGCCCATGCCTGTGCATCAACAGGGTTGGACCTCCTGCTGCAGCTGGGGCGGATTCGAGAGAAGGAGGAGGAGACCTCCTGCTCGTCAGGAGAGAGCTGTTGCGCTTCCCCGAGGAAGGTCATTTCAGCGAGCACGGCCTCGCGATGACTGTGGCTGGGGGAGCCCAGTGGCCTCGAGTTTGGAGGTTCCCCTTAGGCACTCCGGAAGACCACCTGTGTCCTCGGTGTAAGAAGTGCCACGAAACTTTCATGCATCGAGCGTGGCTGCGCGAGGCTAAACGGGCCACGATGTTTATGCCAAGAGCGGTTGTTTGGTCCCGCAGGCCTTAGTTGGCGCTGAGGCCTCACCAGGGTTGTGGTTCAGAGGGGTCGTGCATTCGGTGCTCACCCACCTTGTCTTTTCGGTCGAAAAGGCGCGCCCACTCCCGTTTTCGTGTGCTAGCGCTCTCTCGAGGAGTGCTGTTTGCCTGGCGAGGTTACCGCTACTTTTAATGATGGGTCGGCCAGGGTGGTTCTCTTCTGACTTTTGTCGTCGGCGGTCCGGTGTCGGCGCAGTTGTCCTTCACCGCCAGAGTTGGGAAGTCCTTGCAGGAATCTCCGCAGGCCTGACTGGCCGCATTCAGACAGCGCCAGATCAGAGCTCACTGCCTTTGCTTTGGCCCTCGAAGATTCCAAGGGTCCCATCTGTTAGCGAGGGAGGTTTCGGGTTTGTGACGGGCGGAACGGGGACCTGTGGCTCAGCATTCGCAGGGCTCTTGAGAGCAGAGGTGGGGGTGAAGTCTCTGTTGTTTGGATTCCTTGCCATGTCGATCCCGATGATCCTAGTCCCTTCGGTCAGGAGCGGTTTCTAGCTTCTGGCATCGCTGTCGCCCTCGTCCCAGTGCTCATCAGATTTCTAAGTGTGGCAAGCGGTACAGATGCTCCGGGTATGGGGTGCTCTCGACTTGGGGAAAGCTTCTGGACTTTTGCGCTGGCCCCGCGCTCAGCGTGTCACATCGTTTGAGTTTTCGGGGCCGTTTCAGTCTGTATTTCTGCCGCCACTGCGGTCGTACGGCTACTGTCGACGGGCGCCAGCTTGCAGCTTAGTGGTTCAACCCTTAAGAAGTGTCGCGAGATTTAGCCTGCATCGCGCAAAGCAACAGGTGTCGGAAACTATCAAGCAACACACTCACGCATAAGATATGGTGTGAACTCCCCCCCTCCCCCCGAATGCAGTGTTGGGCTCGGATCTCCCGAGCTTGAGTGTCGGATCAGTGATACGTATACGTGCCAACTTTGAATTGCGGGGGGAGGGGGGGAGTGTTGCTTAAATTTGTCCCTCAACCGAAGTTCCCTACTTACGTAGGGCCTCCCAAGACGGGCCCTGCTGCTGGGGTGGAGCGCGAGGTAGCGGTGCCCCACCCTCCCCCCTCCTTTTTTTTCTCTCTCTGTCTGTCTCTCTCTCTCTCTCTTTCTCTCTTTCCGCAAGCTGTGCTGCGCAAGTGCTCCAAATGCTCCTCCTCCTCCTCTTCCTCCTCCTCCTCCTCCTCATCCTTCTCATCCTCCCTTCCTCCCTCCCTCCTTTCCTCCCTCCCTCCCTCGCTCCCTCCCTCGCTCCCTCCCCCCCTCCCTCCCCCCCTCCCCCTCCCCCCCTCCTCCCTCCCCCCACCCTCCTCCTCCAACCTCCTCCCTCCTCCTCGCCCTCCCTTCTCCTGTGCTCCACCTCGCCCTGGTCCTCCAGCAGGAGGAGCTGGACGCAGCCGCCCCTTCCCGCCGTCGCCCACCCTCGATCGTCCATCGACGGACGACTGCGCCGCTGGCCTCCGGCCGGCAATCGATTGCGATGATGCTCACGACAGCGACGATCGGCGACGATCGACAGACGACGATGACGATCGGCGGCGGCAACGACGACGACGACGACGACGCCGACGACGGCGACGATCGGCGACGATCGGCGGTGGCGACGGCGACGACGGCGGCGACGACGACGGCGACGACGATCGGCGGCGGCGACGACGACGACGACGGCGACGGCGACGACGGCGACGGCGACGACGGCCTTCCAAGCAGTGGCGAGGCGCCCTGGCTCGCCTACGGTAGGTTTGCGTCGTGTCGACCAGCGGCGACCCCAGCGCGGGCGTTCAAGGTTGAACGCCGCCGGCGACCCAGAATCGATCGATGTTGAACGATCGGACGTTGCGGCAGCGGCCGATCGTTCAAGGTTGAACGATCACTGCGGTGTCAGAAACCAACGCCGGGGTCGACACGAGACGGACCTGCCGTATACAGTGGGGGCGCGCATCAAGAAACCATCTGAGTTTCGTCAGGGTACCCTGGGTTTCTTCGTTCCGCGCGCCGCGCGGCGATCTCCCGCGGCCGTCCAAGAAGCTGATTCGATCAGGGTGCTCGGGTTTTTCCCTCAGGCGCACCTCGCGCGCGGGTTTCTAGGGTTGGGTTTCTTGCGAGGGTTTCTTGCGACCGCGCCCGCACTGTAGCCCTACGAAAGAATGTTAGAAGAACCACGAAATGTTCTCAGACAAGTTCTGGTTGAGATTCTCCTGTTTTCACACCTCGGGTTTATGTTCTAAGAACCTTGTTTTTGTTCTTAGAACATGTTTGGGTTCGGAGAACATGTCTTGGTAGGACTGTAGGAATGCCGGGACGGTCGGTCCCCGCTCAACTGGCGCGCGCGCGCGCGCCAGCCTCCTGGCGCGGGCGGTGCTGGAGCGCCCACCCGACCTTCGCGGTTTCCTGCGCGATCGCATCCGGGAGATGCAGGAGCCCCCTTCCGCTCCTCCTGCCCCTCGCAAAGGGGGAGCGGCAGCAGGGGCGAGGAGGCGCAGGAGGAGCAGCGGGAAGAGGCTCGAGGAGCCTTTCTCGGCATCTTCCACGGGGAGGGAGGGAGGGGGGAGGGAGGGAGTGAGAGAGGGGTCCAGACGCCCTCGCGTCTGGCAGCAGGAACGACGGAAGGTTGTTGGCAGGTTCCCCCCTCGGGAGCAGGCGGGGCCTTCTGACCCGCTCGACCTGGCGAACTTGACTTTACCATACTCTGCCCCACTCGACCCTATCATTGTGTGTTATATGTATATATAATATATATATATATATATATATATATATATATATATATAACCGGGGAACGGGACCTGGGGCCGCCAGATTGGTGCCTCGGACCCCCATGGGGGCCACGGGGCTCACTTTTCTTGTGTTTTTACAAGGTTTCGGCGTTCCAGAGCCACCGAGGGAGGCCGCCAGGAGTGGACCTGCGCCCCCTGGGGGCTCCGGGGCTCACTTTCCCTATGTTTTTATAGGGTTTCGGCGTTCCAGGGCCTCCGAGGGAGGCCGCCAGGAGTGGACCTGCGCCCCCTGGGGGCTCCGGGGCTCACTTTCCCTATATTTTTACAAGGTTTCCGCGTCCTGGGCCTCGGAGGCCGCCGCCTCCGACCCCCCGTGGGAGGACGGGACGGCCGGGGAAGTCCAAAATAGTCCAGGAGGGCCTCCAGAGGCTCCCAAGACGGCCCAAGCGGGCCCCGAGTCGCCGAACGACCGCTCCAGGACGCCCAAGATAGGCCCACTCCACGACGCTTCAAGACGCCTCTCCAGAGCGCTCCAAGAGACCGAAATCGTCAATTTTACGAAGGTTTTCGAACGATTTTGGCCTTCCAGCCTTTTCGGCCGTCCGACGTCCAAGACGGCTCAATAGGCCCCCAAGAGCGCCCCAAGACGGCCCAAGAGGGCCCCAAGACGGCCCCAGAGTCGCCCAAGACAGCCCAACAGAGCCCCAAGACGGCTCCAAGATGCGCCCAAGAGGGGGGGGACCACGACTCCAAAATTCGACCCTCCCGCTTGAAGAGTGCCGCAGGAGGCAACAGGGAGCCCCCAAGAGGCCCCAGGAGGCCCCCAAGAGGCACCCAGGAGGCCCAAACGAGGCTTAAAGATTCCACAAAACAGCCCCGAGGAGGCCTCACAACGGTCCCAAAACGGCTTCCGAGAAGCTGTGAAACTGCCTTCACGACGTCCCCGACAGGCCAACCACGAGATCCAAACCAACACCCATGAGGCCTCTGACCCACCACCCAGGGCACGGCGGCGGGAGCAGTGACAGCACTTGTGCACAGCATGTTCCGGCGGGAGCCTTCCGGAACACGCTGCAGGAGGAGGAGGAGGAAGATCAGGAGGAGAGAGAGCTGGAGTGGGAGGAGGAGAAGGATGAGGGGGACGAGGAGGAGGAAGAGGCCTCCAAGACAGCTCCAAGATAGCCGAAGAGGCTTCCAAGAGGGCCCTGAGCGACCCACGAGGGCCCCAAGGCGGTGCCTGCGGCGCCCAAGACGGCCCGAGAGGGCCCCAAGACGGCCCCAAGAGAGGCCCATGAAGGGAAACACGAACTGAGAATCCGAGCTTCCTACCCCGAGAGGTTCTCGGGAAGTCCCAAGAGGCCCCCAATCGGATCCAAGAGGCCCCCAAGAAGCTCCCAAGAGGGCCGACGAGGTTGCAAGAGATCTCCCAAGGTGGCCCCAAGAGGCACAACTCATTGTTTTACGATTGGGCTTTGACGGGTTTTAATTTTTGTCGGCCTTTTGGCATCCCGATGCTCCAAGACGGCTCAAGAGGCTTCCAATACCGATCCAATATAGAGGAAGAGGCCTCCAAGAGGGCCCCAAGACGGCCCGCGAGGGCCCCAAGACGGTGCTTGAGGCGCCCAAGACGGCCCGAGAGGGCCCCAAGAGCCCCAAGAGAGGCCCAAGAAGGGGAACGCGACCCAACAGCAGAGCGTTCCCCCCAAAAGGCCCACAGGAGGCCGCAAGAGGCCCCCAAGTGGTCCGACGAGGACCCCAAAAGCTTCCCGAGGGCCCAAAAGGCCCCTAGGAGACGTCCAAGAGGTTTTAAAATAGCCCAAGAGTGCCCTCGATGCGTCAAAACTGCTTCCAGGAGGCCCCCGGGAGGCTTCCAGATTGCCTCAATCTGGCCGCAGGTGGCCTCAAGTCGGGCCTCCACGCAGCCAAGACGGCCAATGACGGCTTCAGATTGCAGAGCCGATGCCCCCAAGGGACCCTCAGACGCCCCCCCAAAAGGCACCCAAGAGGTACCTCCAACAGCCAGTTGACGCAGCATGCGGAACACCCCAGAAGCTCCTCAGATGCCGTCGCGCACCTGTGCTTGATAGCGTTGTCCAAGATCGTCCAGCGCCCCCCCAGCCTTGGCTAGAACCTGAGCGCGCGCGAAGCGCGCGCGATGGTTTTAGTATATATATAATATATATATATATATATATGTCGGCGGTGCGCCGTGGCACGAAACCCCCCCCCCAGCACTACCGGGGGGTTTCGTGCACTACCGGGGGGTTTCGTGCAGCCCGCACCGGGTGCCGCCAGCGGCTTAGAACACCCCCCCCTTGCCGCTTTACCGGGGGGTTTCGTGCAGGCCGCACTGCGTCTACCTGGGCTCCCCCCCCCCCCCCTGTGGGAGTGGGGGGGTGGCTCCCTGTCGAAGTGTGGCGTGTGCTCGCCTTGTGTTCTCTATTCGCGTCTGCTCGCCTTTGTTCCGCCGCAGCCTCTCGTATTGTGGCTCGTGGCCACAATACGAGAGGCTGCGGCGCAACTCCCGAGAGCCGCTGTGGGGGGTCGACGGCACGGCCGCGTAGAGAAGAACAGTGCCGCCGTGTTCTGGCACGGCCCTGGGATGCAATGCCGCCGCCGTGTTCCGGCCCGTCCTGGTAAGATTCGCGCGTCGGGGCTGGGTTTCGCGCGTGCTGGGAGCGCGCCGCTTACGGAGGGGTTGCGTCCTTACCGGGGGGTTTCGTGCAGCCTACCAGAGGAGGTCGTGTTTACCGGGGGGGTTCGTGCAGGCTCGCACCGGGAATGGCGCCAGCTCGAAACCCCCCAGGAGAGATTACCGGGGGGGGGGTTCGCTCCGCACCGGGCACCGCCGACATATATATATATATATATATATATAAATATATATATATATGCATGCCTGCATGTATGTGTGTATGTGTATAAATGCATGTGTATACACGCATGCATGCATGTATGTACGTATGCATGTATGTATGTATTTATGTATGTATGTGTGCATGTACATACGTATGCACGTGCGTATGTACGTATGTGCGTATCTATGTATGTATGTATGTATGTATGTGTGTAGGTATATATATATATGTACGTATGTATGTAAGTATGTATGTATGTATGTGTGTATGTATGTATGTGTGTATGTATGTATGTATGTATGCGTGCATGTATGCCTGTATCTGTGTATATTTGGACGTGCGATTCCTGTCTAGGTATCGGTATGTGCAAATGTGTATGTATAGTTGTAGTTACTTGTATATATACACATTTGTATAGTTACATGCATACGTACACGTATAATCATAGGCGTATGTATAGTTACGTGTATACGCACATGTGTAGTTGTAGTCATATGTGTGTATATAGATAGATATGTGCACAAATATGTTTAGAATTATAGCTGTTATGTAGGCACTAGCACAGCTTAGTCTTATCATTATCATTGGTAGTAGCATTGCTGTTATTATTCATGTTAGTGTTGTTCTAATTGTTGGTGTGACCATTATCTGTTATTACTATATGCAAATGTATATGTATGTATGCCTGTCTGTATGTATGTATGTATGTATGTATGTATGTAAACATATATGTAAATTCCTATCTTTATTTTCTCACTTCAGGAGATCCCCGGGGATGGGCGCCCCCCCCCCCCCCCCAACAGAATCTGGCGGCCCCAGGGGCCCGTGGGGCTCTCTCTGGCCAGTCCCCAGAGGCCCCAGGTGTCCCTTGGGTGTTCTCTGGCCCGCCAGTTGGGCTTCCCAAGACGGTCCAAAGGGCCCGAAATCGCCGAATAATCTGCCCAAGACGCCTATGATGACTTGACGACGGCCCAAAAGGCCCCCAATACCGCCCAAGAGGCCTCCGAGAGGCCTCCGAAGAGGGCCCCGCGAGACCCAAATCGTTGACGTGCTTCGAAACACCTGGACCTGACCAGGTGTTCCGCGGACTGCAAGCATGGGGCAGTGTAAATATTTTCCCTTCGCAGCAAGACAGGAGGGCACGACAATGCAAGCCACGCGCGCGCAGGCCGATGAAACAGCGGCCGCGCTCGCAGACGGACAGGGAAGGAAGCACGCGGGCAAGCAGCCGTCCAGACCGTTTCGCTGGCACGAGGTCTGTTGCATGTAGATTTGCAGATCCGAGCACACAGCCAAGACGCCGAGAGACTGGCCACGTCGGGCTGAGGGGGGGGGTCCCGGTGTTGGGCCGCTCCTTCGATCCAGGCTGGCGAGCCCCTGCCCCTCCCGTCCCCTGCGCATGCCACTTCCGTCGTCGCCGCAACCACGTCATCATCATCGTGGTCACCGCCATCGTAAACACCCTGTCCACAGGCGCTGCCCCTGACCTTCCCAACCCCCTGTGTCCCACCCGCCAAGAAGGATTCCGACCCCTCCGTCTTCCCCAACAGGGCCCCCGAATCCTGAAGTTGTCCCGAATGCCCCGCATTTACCACACCTGTCATGAACGGAATCATCATCACTAACATAGCAACCACCCCCTGCGAGCCTCCCTTCTCCACAACTCGCCCCCCCATCACCTTCCCAACCCTTGAACCCCACACATGCGTCAGGCTTTCCCGTCTCCTGTGCATCCCACTTCCGTCGTCGACACAACCATGTCATCACCGTCGTAGTCCGATGTGCGCCTCCTACACTCCTCCGTCATCATCTCAGTTGCCATTATCCGTGACCTTCCCAACCC